CCACTGGCATCTGTGTGAAGTTCAAATGGTGTCCCGTAGTTAGGGTACGCTAGGACTGGCGGTGAAGTTAGCATTTCTTTCAGATGGTTGAAAGCTTGTTCCTGTTCCTCCCCCATGTGCCATGGTTCCCCTGATGGTTTCTTTGACTTCTTGGATTTCCCATAAGACATCAGTGCTGAGAGTGGCTTGGCTATCTTGGCGAAGTCTTTTACGAATTTTCGGTAGTAGCCCGCAAAACCAAGGAACTGTCGTACTTCTGTTGGACTTGATGGTCGTGGCCAATTCAGTACTCTCTCGACCTTGTCTGGATCCGCCATAATACCATCCTCTGAAACGATGTGGCCAAGGAACTTGATTTTCTTCTTGAAGAAGGAACACTTGTCAGGTGAGAGCTTGAGGCCAGTTTCTCTGAAATACCTGCTTCAGTCTATCCAGCTGCTCTTCAAATGATGATGAGAAGATGATAACATCGTCTAGGTAGATGAGGCAGATTTTCAGGTGAAGTCCCTCGAAACACTCGTTCATGAGCCGTTGATACGTGGCTGGGCTGTTACAAGGTCCAAAGGGCATTCTGTTGTACTCATAGAAGCCTAGGGGTCCAACTGTAAAAGCAGTTCTTCCCTTATGAGTCTCTTCGATTTCCACTTGGTGATACCTGGACTTCATATCCAGCGTAGTGTAATACCGAGATCCAGAGAGTGCCTCAAACATCTCCTCAATCCTTTGAATTGCGTAGTTGTCCTTAATAGTTTGAGCTGGCGAAAGTCCACACATAGATGCAGTTTCCCTGTCTTCTTCCTAACTAGGACAACGTTGGATGACCATGGGGAACGTGAACGCCTGATAACACCACAGAGTAGAAGTTGGTTAAGGTGCTCCTTGACTTCTTCGTACATGGCAGGTGGTATGCGCCGATAACGTTGCTTGAATGGGATGTCATCCTTGAGGTCAATCCTGTGTCTGACTGCTTCTGTGTGGCCTAGGTCTGTGTCGCCGGTAGAGAAGATATCCAAGTAGTCAGTGATGACTTGTCTCCCTTGTGCTAGTTCCAAACTTGAGACGGCAGACTCGTTGAAGTCCATGAGGTCAAGTACACTAGAGTCCTGTGTGGAAGCAGAGCTTGGTACATCCTCCAACTTGACAACTTGCAATTCACAGAGTATTGCGTGGCAAGGAATGCTGATAGCTCTTGTAGTGAGGTTAGATACATGTACGTCGACATGAAGCTTCTGACCACTTCCATTATATGAGACAAGTGTGGGCGTGATGTCAAGGTCATCTGGTATCTGTGATCCAGTAGTGGGATGAACTATGACATGAGTAGCATGATATGGTAGGGGCTGGTCAACATAACCTGAGATATGAATCTCCGAGTTGGCAGGGATTATCTTGCGAGCAGACTCTTGGCTCCTAACTTTACCGATAGAGTAGTTCCTCTTGGCTAATTCTTTCTCCCTTAGCACTATACTCCTGAAGGCTAAATACCACGGTGTATGGAGATTTGCTTGCTGGAGAAACCTTGGTCCAAATTTGTCCTGACACTGGTTAAGGTATATGGATAAGATGTTGGTCCCAAGTGTGATAGGTACTGTCTTGTTGTACTGGCTGTCTGGCACAACGAGTAGCATACTCTGTATCTTGGTAGATGTACTCCCAGATCCCTCTATATCAACAGCAATGACGCCACTGTAATGTAGAAGTTCTCCATCCGCGCACTCGACATGAAGAAGCTGCTTCAGTGGTTCTAGGGGAACATCTGGAAAGTTCTGTCGATAATAGTTCAGCTATAGATGAGATCGTAACTCCAGTGTCAAGCAAAGCCTTGGTCTTGATTCCATTGACAATAATGTTGGTTTCAGTTGGTTCGCCTACCAACTCGGACACTAACTGTTGATGGGTGTTGACCTTGAATCCTAGGCCCATGGTCCGCCCCTCCCCATAGGCCCCTGCAAGTTTCCCTGGCCCGGAAGTGGTGCATGACATCCACGCTGAATGTGACCTGGCTGTCCACATCGGAAACATCCTTGGAACCATCCCGGATCTCCACGACCTGTAGGGTTGCCTTGTCCTCGACCTTGACAGAAAGGTTTGTTCCATCTTGGCCTTGATGGGCGTGTCCAGTTCCTGGGTGGCAAGTACCCATACTCCTGACCTTGACCTTGATTATGGCCATGACTCCATTGGTTACCTTGACCTTGTTCTGTGACTTGTGGTCTCTCGTTCTTGACTTGTTCCTTGAGTTTGTTAATCTCATTTGACATTGACTTGAGCATGCCCTTGATCTCTTGTAGCTCCGACTGCTCCTTGGTTACAGACGACTTACTAGTTACCTCCTGGCTGTTGGTTGCCTCTGTAGCAGATCCTGTTCCAGTTGTCGTAGGTACTTGAGAAAATCTTCCAGTAATCCTCCATGATCATATCTATGACCTGACATGTCCTTCAGGTCCAAGCGAAGCCCGGTCCACAAATTGTCGCGAAGTAAGACATCCCTTTCTCCTGGCTTCACCTTTCCTAACATGATGGCTTGATCCAAGATGTCCTCAAGTCTACATTCCCAATCGGCAACTGATTCCTCCTCTCCTTGCCTAGCAGTATAGAACTCGGCCATGATGTTGTGTTCTGTGTGCACCATTCCGAAGACACTGTCCAGCTTGGTGATGAGAGAGTCCAATGGAGCATCCTTATCAATGTGCATGGCGACTCTTGCTGCCTTCCCACGAAGTGATTTGTGTACGGCGTCCATGACATCTTGCTCCGAATATCTTGTACAGAGACATGTGTATTCATGTTTCCACTGGTCGAAGTCGACGTCCCCTTTCCTGTCTCCCGAGAAGTATGGAAGCTGTGGCGTCTTAGCTAGCGTAACTGTGGATGGAATAGAGGGTTTAAGTTCCTGAGTCGACTTGCTAACTGATGAGATCCACGCTAAGAGATCCTGAGGTGTATCAGCTTTGGGTTTCAAATCCAACTTCTTCAGTGACGAAACAAGTTGTTTCACCTCCTCTTCTGACATTCCCGCTTCAGCCATGTTGGAGAATAAATATGAATACACAAATGACAAACAACTGAGTAATACACGACGTAGAAAAGTTGATGAGTAAATGAAACACGAAATCCGCGAAAAATACACAACACGCGACACTTGATGACTGTAAATCCGTGAAGAATTTGTAACAAAACAGATTTCAAAGCACACAGTGAAGCACGCGAGAATACGTTAGATGTAGGATTTAATGAATTTTTACATTGATTTACGTAAATGGTATGGGAGTTACCCTTAACGAATATAAGTTAAATGTTTAAATAAATTACATGTTTAGAGTTACCTTTAATTTGTGTTTAGATAATAAACTAATGCAGGTAAGTAAAGTGCAGGTGTACGCACGCAGGGGCTTATAAATATGATACCCTACATAAAGAGAGAATAACACCAAGCAATATGAAATGAAGATATGAGAAGCGAACAATGAAATACAACCCTTAATTACCTGAACCAAATAACCAAAGGGATAAATGAACGCAAAGAAAACCCTACAACTAAACCACAAAGAGAACCTACATACTAAAACACTAAACTATGAACGCAACCAACTAAAACAAACTAAACCTACAGGTTTATTAAGAGATGGAACTTAAAGTAAACTAAACTAAACTAAACTAAACTCCTGTCAAAAAGAAACGCAACCCCTGTCCTCAATTATATTCATTCATTTGTCGCATGAAAAGCTGTGTGAAAAATGCCACGATTGAGTGCTGCCGACCGAAATATCGCCATTGGTCGTGTTCAAGCCGGAGAAAGTTTTGGAACTGTTGCACGGCACCTAAATGTTCACAAAACAACGATATCCCGACTTTGGAGCCGCTACAACAACTTCAATTTGACCAACGATCGCCCGAGAAGTGGAAGGCCAAGAATCACGACCCTTCAAGATCGGTACATCCGGGTCCATCACCTGCGTAATCGGCATGCCCTACCAACCGTGACTGCCACACATAAATACCAGGTTTGAGGAGAGTGTCAGCTCAAACGATTAGGAACCGTCTGAAAGAAGCGGGTTTACGTGCCTGTAGACCAGTTGTTGGACCTGTACTACGCCCCTACATCTCCGCCGACGACTCAGGTGGTGCAACAACGTAAGGATATGGACTTTACAAAACTGGAGGCGCATCTGGTTTCTGATGAATCCCGTTTTCTTTTGCAACATCACGACGGAAGAAAACGTGTGTATAGGAGACGTCATGAACGTTTTGCGCCCATCTGCGTCCGACAGGGGACAGATTTGGCGGAGAAAGCGTTATGGTTTGGGGATCCATCTCATACAACCAGAAATCAGACTTAGTGATCGTTGAAGGAACCTGACAGCCCAACGTTACATCAACCACGTATTACAGCCTCACCTTCTCCCGATTATTGACCAACAGACACAGATTTTTCAACCACAGACAACGCCCGGCCTCATACTGCACGTGCAACAATGAACTTTCTGCAGAATTCCAACGTCAATGTCTTGCCATAGCCCTCTAAATCACCAGACCTCAACCCTATTGAACACCTGTGGGATACTCAGGTCGACGCGTACGTCAACGTCAGCCGCCGCCACAGACGCTGCAACAGCTCGGCGTTGCACTGCAGGAGGAGTGGAGAGCCATTCCCCAGGAAAGAATCCGGCGTCTTATCCGTTCGTGTCCAAGGAGATGCCGTGCAGTGATTGCAGCTCGTGGTGCTCATACGAGATACTGAGAAAGACGCCCCCCTGGTGACAAACTGGTGTCTGTGAGATGACTTTTGAAATGACAATTTTAAACATGCCCATCTTGGTTATTATTCTGCCAAATTTCAGACTTCTGTCTTAAATAATAAAAATGCTGTGCCGTCTTAAAACTTCAGATCAAAATCTCTAAAATACAGGGGTTGCGTTTCTTTTTTGACAGAGTTTAATTACCGATTACTAAAATAAATAGTTGATATTACTAATTACCTAACACTAACTAATACACACTCACACACACGAATGATGGAGTACGGGGTGATGGAGTAGGAGGTGGTGGAGTAGGGGGTGATGGAATAGGGATGATGGAGTAGGGGGTGATGGGAGTAGGGGATGGAGTAGGAGGTGGAGTAGAGGGTGATGGTAGGGGACGATGGAGGGGGTGATGGAGTAGGGGATGATGGAGCAGGGGATGATGGAGTAGGGGTGGAGGTAGGGATGGTGCAGTAGGGGAGGGGATGGAGTAGGGATAGGGGGTGGAGTAGGGGTGGAGGGGTGATGGAGTGGGGCAGTAGGAGATGGTGGAGTAGGGGGTGAGTGGGGGTTGTAGAGGGATGAGGAGTAGGGGGTGAGTGGAGGTAGGGGACAGTGGGAGGACAGGGTGATGGAGTGGGGGAGGAGGAGTAGTGGAGTGGTGGAGGAGTAGTGGAAGGGGGATGAACGGAGTAGGGGATGGTGCAGTGGGAAGGGACAGACGACGGAGGAGTGAGGGAATGGTGGAGTAGGGGGTGATGGAGTAGGGGATAGGGAGAAGAGGAGTAGGGGGTGAGGTGGAGTAGGGGGTGGAGTGGAGTAGGGATGATGGGTGAGTAGGAGGGTGTGAGGAGTAGGGGGGGTGGTGGAGTAGGGAGGTGGTGGGGTAGTGGAGGATGGAGTAGTAGGGGAGTGATGGAGTAGGGGTGGTGGAGTAGGAAATGGAGAAGGGGGGTGGTGGAGGAGTGAGGTGGAGTGGAGGGAGAGAGGATGGAGTAGAATGAGGGGGTGACAGGAGTAGGGGATGGAGATGGTGGAGTAGGGGTGATAGGGGGATGGATGAGTGGTGGAGTGGAGGTGGTTGGTAGTAGGGGATGGTGGAGTAGGAGTTGGAGTAGGGTAGGAGTAGGGGGTGGTGGAGTAGGGGTGGTGGAGTAGGGGAGAGAGGACAGATAGGAGGACAGGGAAGTAGATGATGGAGTGAGGAATGATGATGGAGTAGGTGGAGGGAGTGAGGGGGTGGTGGAGGGAATGAGGGACGTTAGGGGAAGTGGTGGTGAGTAGGGTGAGTGGAGTGAGGAGATGATGGAACAGGAGGTGAGGAGATGGGGTGATGGAGTAGGAGGTGACGGAGAAGGAGATGGTGGAGCAGGAGGTGATAGAGAAGGAAGTGGAGCAGGGATGGTGGAGCAGGAGGTGATCGAGCAGGAGGTGGTTAGCAAGAGGTGGTGGAGAGGTGCTTGATAGCAGAAGGTGAGGAAGAAGTAGTAGTTAGGGGATTGTGGAGAATGTGGGGGTGGAGTAGGAGTAGATGGAGGAAGAGGTGGGGAAGATAATGGTTCCTGAATGATTGACCATGGTCAGTGATTCTTTGATATTTCTTTACTGAAGTATACATTTGATTCAAAATTCGCGACAACTATTTTAAGTGTACATGAACCCCCAAGACATTATAAACAATGCGATCTCCTGATCAAGTGACACTTGAGACAATGTCCTTGCTTAAATGGTGATCATCACTTACCAGTTTGATGAAAAGAAATATTGAATAACTTACAGGATTTCGACTCATATATTAGCATTTTCACATTACGTTTCGGATAACATTTTCATTTTCTTATATATATATATATATATATGGGTCTAATCTTAGGAAAGTGAAAACGTTATTTGAAACGTGATGTGAAAATACTAGGGCATGATATCATTAATGCCAGACCAAGTTCATTCGAAGAGTGAAATCAGCAGGTGAACTAATCATTAATTTTAGTTTAGCTTGTGAATAGGATTTGTAAATGATGAGGATAATCAAGAATGAAATACAAGTCTTGTGACTCAATGGATAACATCAGATGGTTGATAGAGTGATCTGTCACACGCTGACATTATATTAGCGGTCATTATATTAGTTGTGGTTGAGACCTCATGCATAGGTCACTAATCACCTTAGTTTGGTGGAGTGTATATGTACTACAGTCTGATGTGTGGGCTGGATTTCTGGAACAAGGTGGCGCGTGGTCCTGTGCTCAAAGCTCAGGTCACAAATCGGTGAAGTTAAGCAGCGTCGAGCTCGGAGGGTCCTTGGATGGGTGACCGTGTTTGGCAGCTTGACTCCTGAGAGTTTCCTACCCCACAACGAAGCACATGTGACACATGTGGTCTCACCTTAGGCAAGTGAGTTTGTTCAAAATTGTCTCTGTTCACACAGCAGGAAAATGGGTACCCGGTGGAAAAAGTCATATGAATATAACCTTCTAGCGCCTAACAGGCAGCTTGGGTTATCCGGGGTAATAATGTGCTGTGCCTTGATTGTTAGCGCTATGAGCATACCTAGTGTGGAGTTTGGCGCTATATAAATGGACACATTATTATTATTATTATTATTATTATTAATATTATTAACAAGGTTGATTCCTGGGAGATTCTTTGGCCTGCTGAAACAACACGCAAACAAACATAGGGTGACTACATAGGTGGGCGGGTGAGTGAGTAAGTGGACACTTGTGTGGGTTGGAGTGAGGGTGAAGTGAGAGTGGGTGGGTGAGAAGGTGGGTATGTGAGTGAGTGGCTATCCATAGCCATGCCACGTTGCATCTGTGCTTCCCGGATTGTCAGTATTGTGTTTGTTTGTTGTTTTTGTTTGTTTAACGTCAAAGTCAGAAACAGTCGTGACTACACAATCCAGTGACTAATGCAATGAGCAACGATTCACGTCATCGGCCACAGATTCTGACCAACCGAGCCTCTTTAGGTAGATGCATGTTACTACAAGCCTACGGGTGACCAGTTCACACAGGGCTGATGGTGAAACAGCTCGTTGTAGGTTAGGATTGTATAAATGTTGATCAGGTGCATCTGATCATGTGATCGATCCAGGCTAGGCAACCATTAGGGTGATAAATGAGTACATCTACCTAGATTACCAATTGAAATAAAAACGATCTTAGAGTCGTCATAATCTGAAAATGATTCATCATCAGGGAAATCATATACTGTATTTCTAATAAAAATATCCTATTTCGTCCTTGCCTGCATCTTCCCTGCTTATATACAGACTTCGGGTACAGCTTACTGAAACAATACTGATGACTTCAATTTTAACTCACTCATTCGAAAACTTTATCAGTCGTGATCAATAGATTGGTCACAAGTCAGATTGAGTGCATCGTGCCAGCTCCAGTATCACAGCATATTCAGAACCATTATGATTAATGACTTTCATTTATGGGACCGAATCTAAGTATATTGATGCTGGGCAATATTTTTAAAAGGCCACCAAAGAACGTGTCACGCCCACGATATTTAAACATGACATGGTTATATATGACAAGGTTTGCCCGTACAGGAAAGTACTCATGTCACGTTGTTGCGGTAGGGTGACACAAACACGTAGCAACTGCAAGGACGTGCACTGCTGCCGAGAAGTTCATTCCCCTTACACACAATGGCCACACCTAAAGCACTGGTCACGCATTTGTCATCATATCCTCCTATCATAAGATTTTATTGTGCTGATGCAGGAATTTATGTCCATGTAATTTAATTGTTTTGTCGAGCTGAGCAGTGTTTTTTAATATTTCGTAATACTGAGCAATATAAAAAAAAGTCCAGATTCCCACTATGTTTGTTGCCCCGCCCATAAACTATATCATACAACATTCATAAACCATCTTCATTTTGATGGTGAAAGAGAATTAATTCTCTTAAAAGATACTTGGCTTGGGTCAGTTGAGCACAGTTTATGCGATATATACCTGAAACTGATAACCTGAACTGTACTCTGTTTATCAATTCCCGTTGCCTTTTATGGTTACCCGAAATTCACACTGGCAGTGCGGTATTTCGTATAGACTGTAACTCATACAAAACGTAGCTGTGCATAACATAACTTTGCACAAAATTAAAGTTATTTGAAAAGTTAGAATAATGACCATACATAAATATGCAGCAAAGCACTTTGCACGAAATTTGATGTCACGTATCGAGCGTGGGACGTGCACTTTGTGCACAATGAACTTACTCATATTTTGCATGCTTTTTGACACCTGAAGTTCACACACCTGAAATTGAAAATTAAAGAACGGATGATTATTCTCTAGCCTCTAAATGTTGTAGAAAACAGTCTTAATTTCAGTCTAAACTGCGCGGACGTCATGCCACGGCTTGCAGAAAATCAGCGTCTCCTCGCCGTGGGTATGCTGGAGATTGGAATGGCCCGAAATGAAGTGACCAGACATTTTGGTGTCCATCAAAACACGATCTCATCGCTATGGAGACGTTTTCAACATAATGGGAACACGAGAGATTTGCCTCGGGACCGGCTGGCCACGCGTGACATCACGTCAGCAAGACAACCACATTCGGCTGAGTTGTCTACGGAATCGATTCTGCCAGTTTGACTGCTTGGACCATCCCTGGCTTACGTCCAATCAGTTCCAGGACTGTACGGGACCGACGGAGGGAGCACAACATCTGTCCCCGACGGCCTGCATTGCGTCACGCCTCATGATCGGACAGAACTTGACTTTGCCAATGGCAATCTGACAGGTCTGCGATACAGGGATGAGATCATTGGGCCTCATGTGCTCCCGTTCATACAAGGACAGAGACGTAAAGTCACGCTGCAACGATATAATGCCCGTCCACACGTCGCTCATGTGACGGCAGAACATTCCGGTACTCCCCTTGCCAGCTGTTTCTCCGGACCTGTCGACGATACGAGCACGCTTGGGATGAAATGGAGGGCCGTTTACGTCAAACGTCAGTCCCAGAATCAGCCACTGACGTTAGCTGGATTGGGACAAGCGTTGGTTCAGACATGTTCCGCAAACTTTCTTTAATCGCTGTCGTTGTCTTGCCTGCATCAACGCCAATGGTGGATACACACGATACTGAATTTGTGAACTGACTTTTGACATCACCTCTCTTCAAGGGCGTGTCTCGATGCTAAGAGTCAAACCATACAGATTTCGATTAAGGAAAACACCACAAATCATGTTATTATCTTTTTGCATTAAAAATGGCAAAACATCAAATAATGCACAGTTACTTTATTCCAGTTGTACTTTAGTTTGTTCCATACTAAAGATTGCAACAGAGAAGGAGTTATTATTGATATTCTTACATATTAAATACCTTATCGAGAGATGAGTTATTTGTAAAGGTCGTCACGAAGAGCAATATAAGACGCAGCTGTACGAGTTATTTAAAGATATGTGAAGGCCTCAATGCACTGACAGACTGTTGGCAGATGTTCTGAAGGAAAAAGTTCGTTTCTTTGTTTCTTTGTTCTTTGTTGCAACTGAATCACAATGACGTGCATCAAACACGTGACCACCCGATCCCGTTAGTCACATCTGACGACAAATATGTGTTGCTGAAGATTAATTCTGACTCGAATCCTCACGGGTGATACAAAAAAGAGTCTGCAACATTATTGCAGTACTTTCGGGTCCGTTTTAAGACTCGGACATACATGTTATCAAGACTACAGCAGATATGTGATCCACACAAATGAATTGTTTAATGCCCCCTCCGCTGTTGAAACTGGAAGCAAATGTAATAATAAATTCCTCCTGACGTTTTGCTTTAAGATATTTGGTATGAGGCCGAAATCTAGTATCAAGTTTTAAACATTCAATTATTCTGCATTATTCTTTATTTTCTTAACTGTAGGCCACAAGCCCGTGGTATACATAAAATCGTATATAATGGGTGAGTGGTACAGGAACGTTAAGTTTGTACACGGCATGTTTCAAATATTACACCCAGGTACTTTACCCAGGTACTTTACAACCTTAATTAGAATGAGTGAGTTTAGTTTTACGCTGCACTCAGCAATATTCCAGCTATATGGCGGCGGTCTGTAAGTAATCGAGTCTGGATCAGACAATCCAGTGATCAACAGCAGGAGCCTCGATCTACGGAACTGGGAGCCGATGACATGTGTCAACCAAGTCAGCGAGCCTGACCACCCGATCCCCTAAGTCGCCTCTTACGACAAGCAGGGGTTACTGAAGACTTTCATTAATCCATGCTTGTCGTAAGAGGCGACTAACGGAATCGGGTGGGCAGGTTCGCTGACTTGGTTGACCCATGTCATTGTATCCAAATGTCATAGATCGACGGTCATGCTGTTGATCACTGGATTGTCTGGTCGACATATATTTACAGACTCGGCGGCGTGAAACAACAAACCAACCAAGCAACCATCAAATAAGAGTGCCTCGTACATTGACAATTTCTTGAAGCGCTGTAAAATGATGTCTTTCCCCCAACCCTGTCAGAGTTACACACACCTCCCACATGTGGAACAGGAGCTTGTACGTAACTGGTAGGCACCGTCGGCCAGGTTCTCTCGGGTGATGTTTTCCGTTGAGCAGAGTTGTGTCCCGTAGGCGAGGCAGGATCATGGGAACCTAGGTGCGAATTTGGACGCTCCTCTATTCCTCTATTAATTGTAATATTCATAGATTATTCTTGACGCTACTGGAATAATATGGCAATTCTTATCTTAACGTTTCTGCTTCATTGATTCATTTCTATGCTTCATCGACAGCCCAGCTCTCGCAGGTGTTTCCCTCTCCCTCTGTCTGTGTGAGTATCGGCGTGTGTGTCTATGTGTGTTGTTTCGTCATGTGTGTATGTGTGTCAGAGTCAGAGTATGTGTGTGTGAGCGTGTGTGCCTGAATCTGTCTAAGTATGTGTGCGTGTGCGTGTCTGTGCCTGAGTCTGATTGTGTGTGCGTGAGCGTGTCTGTGCCTGAGTCTGACTGAGTGTGTGTGCGTGAGCGTGTGTGTGCCTAAGTCTGTTTGAGCGTGTGTGCTTGAGCGTGTGTGTGCCTGAGTCTGTCTGAGTGTGTGTGCCTGAGTTGACAGAGAGTGTGTGTGTGTGTGCGTGAGCGTTGTGTGCCTGAGTCTGACTGAGTTTGTGTGACTGAGTCTGACTGAGTGTGTGTGCGTTAGCGTGTGTGTGCCTGAGTCTGACTGAGTGTGAGCGTGTGTGTGCCTGAGTCTGTCTGAGTGTGTGTGCCTGAGTCTGACTGAGTGTGTGTGTGTGTGTGTGTGTGCGTGTGCGCGCGCGAGCGTTGTGTGCCTGAGTCTGACTCAGTTTGTGTGACTGAGTCTGACTGAGTGTGTGTGCGTCAGCGTGTGTGTGCCTAAGTCTGTTTGAGTGTGTGTGCGTTAGCGTGTGTGTGCCTGATTCTATCTGAGTGTGTGTGCCTGAGTCTGACTGAGTGTGTGTGCCTGAGTCTGTCTGTCTGTGTGTGTGTGTGTGAGTGAGTGAGTGTGCCTGAGTCTGACTGAGTTTGTGTGCCTGAGTCTGTCTGAGTGTGTGTGCGTGCGTGCCTCCAATGCCCCGTTTCATAAAGCTATCGTTGCGCTACGACTGTCGTACCTCCTATACCTTAACATAGACCTTCGACAGACGTATCGCTACGATAGCTTTGTGAAACGGGGCCCTGGATATTCATCATACCAGAACGTATGATACATACAGATACTGTGTATCTGTGGAGAATCAGGCAGTCCCTGTAACAGTGAAATCTCGTCAATATGAACCTCTTTTGCCAGATCTATTACTGTTAGAAATTATAGAGCGTGGCAATGAGTGACACGGTTGTGCAATTAAAAGCGACAAACCATTTTGATTCAGCGAGTGATTATGGTTGTACGCTGCTAATAGCAATATTCCAGCAATATCACTGCGGGGAACACCAGCAATAGGTATCACAATTTGGACCCATGTCTGAATCGAGCCCGGGACTTCGGCGTGAGGCGCGAACGCTTTAACCACTAGGCTACATACTGTCCAACTGCATCATGAGAAATACTGCTAAAAAAGTCGATTGTATGTTTCCTGTCTTATATGCATTATCTCATTGCTATGATACCGGGAGTTTGCGAAATTGGAGCGTATCCTATCTCACCGGTGTCTTACATCTGTCGCAAACACATGCACAGGCAAGTCAACTGTTCACTTGAAGAAACACTGAAGAAAATGAAATATAAGTTAAACAAATCACTGGGAACGATACAGTCATGATATACATGTATATGTTCACTGTAGACGTCATTCTCAGCCAACAAACAAATGGTTTACAATTTATGTAAATTATGTGAGTGAGTGAGTTTGGTTTTACGCCGCTTTTAGCAATATTCCAGCAATATCACGGCTGGGGACACCGGAAATAGGCTTCGTGCATTGTATCCATTTGAGAAATCGAACACGGGTCTTCAACGTGATGAGCGAACGCTTTAACCATTAGGCTACCACACCATGCTATGTAACTTATGAGCATCAGCTACTACCGGTGGAACAGGACAAGCTTAACCTTTAACAAACACCTGGTGTCTTAATTAATTCTCACTGATTCATTTAAACAATGCCCAGAAAACCTTCGTCCAATGGTTTCAGGCCTGTTTGTTATCTGTCCTCGATCAAGTTCAAACATGCACAATAATATAACGGCACGAATTTTGACGCAGTCGTCAGTAAAATATAATACAGAGTACTATTATTTAACCCAAATCAATATAACTTAGCATTGTGTAATTTTAGTTACAGTTTTTATGTAAAATATATATAATCAACACTAAGGTTATACGGACCCTCATGAACGTGGTAAGCAGAAGTTGTACGCACATGGAATGGGGTAAAATACGGAAGCCATTTAAATTCACACATTTTTACCGATGTTACTGTAAACAAGCAGTCAATGGAAAACTAGGCGGTAATCAAAACCAACTTAAATATAATGGAAATGATTTCATAAAAAATCACTCATCCTATACTGACAGTACAACACTTGTCCTATACTAACAGTACAACTTGATAGCACTCGATGTCTTTTTCATTACGCAAGCGATTTTTATAAATATATTCCGTACGCATTTGTTTTAAACTTTCTGCGTATCTAACATTTTAAATGCGTAATTGGTACGCAACAATTATCTTTCAATGCGTAATTCTATGCGTATTTTACCCGGATTCGCAGCTTATCTGGGCCTCTGGATGGCATGTGTCAACCAAGTCAGCGAGCCTGACTCCCCTATCCCGTTAGTCGCCTCTTACGACAAGTATGGGTTACTGAAGATGAATTCTAACCGGGTCCCGTCCTCTGGAACATTTGCTACGAGCCAGACAGGAAGCTGCATATGGCATTGTTGTCACCACAGGTGTGTCATATTTAAAAAATTCTATCTTCATATCTACCAACTTTCTGAAAGCTTTATTGTATACTTGTAAACCAGATCAAACATTCTTTTTGTATATCGCTCTTTGAAATCTTCAAAAATCGATCGCAAGTAAAAACTGTTGAATGTAGACACCAAACGCTGGAGCAGCTGGAATCTTGTGGAAGCCTACTTCTTTCCAAAGACATCATCAGTGCTACAAAACACTGGTTCAATTAACACCATACTAGAAAACATCCGTCAAATGTTATCTCTCATGAGTGGTGTAAGTTACGATGAAGTCACTTCCAAAACGAATCAAGGTGAAGCGAGTGGTTCTGGTTTATATCATATTGAATGGCTATGGCATGCCCAGGATATCTAAGGAGGGTGTAGGACTCTGTAATATAGCAACGCCTTACTCATCTTGGACACTTAGCTCTGTGTGTTTTCAGTAACGCTGCACGCAGTTATGTTCCACCTGCATGACTTTGGTCTGTAAATAATCTAGTCTGGACCAGACAATCCAGTGATCAACAGCATGAGTATCGATCTACTCAATTGGGACCCGATGACGGGTTTCAACCAAGTCAGCGAGCCTGACCACCCTATCCCGTTAGTCGCCTCTTACGACAAGTATGGGTTGTTAAAGACCAGTTCTAACCCGGAACTTTACGGGTCTGGTCTTTGCGGGCGGCTCGCAATTCATTTACGTAATTGTAACTGGAGGACAGTCACAAATTAATTCAAAGTTCAACTGTGACATGACATGTAAATACCTTGTTCAGTTTTATTAAAATAGAATCGGTAATATGTTAAGATCTGTGGCGGTTTATAAATAACCTAATCTGGGCCAGAAATTCATTGACTGAAGTCCAGGAAATTAGTATACAATTATTTTCAGTCAACCGAGTTTGTTTTTTTATTTTTTTTATTTATTTTTTTGCTTTACGCCGAAGAAGTAATACAATGTACAATATGTTAGACATGTCCCAGTACAATGCAATACAACACCTTCATACACTTCAATGATCGTCACGATATGGCTGAAATATTGCCGATGTGACGTTAAATAATAACTCACTCACTCAATGACGACATTTCTTTGGTGTAGAATGAAATCTTGAACTTCTCATTATAGGAGGACGTGCTACAGTCAGCAATATTCCCTTATAATAACGGCAGCCGAGTTCATGTGTCTAACCACTGGGTGCAATTCACTCACAGTTTACTTAACAAGCAATAGAATGTTGGACAAATTCTATGGCCAATCATTCAATAGGCTGTTTCGATGCGCGGAGTCTTGTTTGATACACTGTTTTAGCACACACTTCCAAAAGGGATACTTTCATTCCCACTACGAGCTAAAAATGTTTTAGGACTAACGAAAAATTTATTTTTTTCAAAACACGAAGCTTTTTCGGTGACAGTTTCAATTTTTCAGGTAAAAAACATTCAATTTCTTCTTTAAGATCCTGAAAGAATTTCTTTCGAAATAATCACATTTCGTAGAGCGAGGTGTCTGAAGCACCTTGTTTAACCATCATTCTCTTAAAGTCATTGTGTCCTTGCCACATGGGTACATCCTCGAGTTGGTTGATCAAGGTTACAGTACAACAGAGTCAGTTTCATGGTAAATGCGACACATCAGTGACAAACATGTCAGATACAAATAGCTATTTCTACTTCAACAAGAGGAACATCAACGGACTACTCATCTTTTCGCGAACACCTGATACCATCACTTTGGGAAACCAGTTTCATAAACACTTTCTCAAGACATAGCAGGAAACGCACAATTGACTCTACCTTTGTAGGGAATTCGTATGAGCATGGGAAGGGTTTGCTGCTTCACACACATAAACTTCATCTTTCGCCAAGGCCACGTTGAAGGCAGCCATGGAAGAGAAGCTATGGCTGCACATACCTTGCTGAGTATGTTATAAACCTTTTAATATCAGTAATCAGTTAGTCACCATCCTGCGTTTGTACTAAATGGAGACGCGAAAACTGGTATGGATATTGATCGACAATATGGGTCATTTTAATAAATACTTTTGTTACCTCAAACAAATATTTAACCCCTCTTACTACTTCGGCAATTTCTTGGACTTAACAGCAAACATGTTACACAGCTTTCCATTGGCGAAAAGTTTTCAACTTGAAACTGATTTTCTCTGATCGATTTGAACACTTCCAGGTTGAAATGTCGACGTAGATGTTGACGAAAGGTGTCCGTTTGATGCGTTGTTTTTAGTTGTTTTTTCTCCAGTCGAATGTCACGCTACGTCACCTCATGCGTCTGCGAGATACATCATCAAGTGGGTATTCTCTCATGGCAACGGCACCGTGTCAAGACCCGCGTAATTCGTCGCTCTAACACGCCGGGTAATTAAGGCATTGGACGACCACTGATGGGACATTGCAACAATGAGAGCGTCGGTAGCTGTGTTTTGAGAACCACACACAACCTCGCCGTGGGAAACAAAGCACCCTCTACAAGCAGCCGTGGTGACGGAGGCCGCTGTAGCGAGCAGACGACATTGTTAGCAGCTCTGGCAGACTATTGTGCCCCGCCTTGCTGTGTCCAAGTGCTAATTACACAGTCTAAATCTTAGCCTTACCTCATTTCCTGGATGAAGCGCAGATTCACTGATTGAAACCCAATATGGCGTCGGTCGCCGCCTTCACATCAGAGCAGACGACGGCCAGCAAACGACAGTTTATTGTGTGGGACTAATTTGATACACTCTTCAAGACTGATGATTTTAGCTTTGAACTTAAACAAACAGTTTAATCTTAAAAGGAATCATCTAACCAGTCTTGAAAAACAAGTTTCACGCCCCGGGAGAAAGGTAAGAATTTGAAAAGATTTTCTAGTCAGGATATGACACCTGTTTGACAAATGCTGTTTTTTTTTATCATGCTCAGGGTCTAAAAACGCATACTTATCCTAATCATGTTATAAATTTTCAATAAATGATTGTGAAAAGAAAAACTCAACATTTGTTTGGGGTAATTTTTCTTTTTTCTAATGGTTGACATCCATATATGTTGCTCTGACATAGTCAGCCAAAGGACATGAAGCATACACCAACATTTAGTTGAAATAGTTGATAATAGTTGAAAATGTAATAAACAAGAATTTATTGGATAGTATTGTAATTAGTAAGGTGAAGCAGGTATTGTCATTATCAGTTTGAGTTGGTTCACAGATACCATCCATACAGCGTTATAACATTTTGGTAACATTTGTAATGTGTTAAAGCTATTTTCAGGTGTATCCTGCATTTTGCCAGATGTTGTTTTGTCAAAGTTAAAAATCTGAAGGAAACAGCTCTGTTCATCCCTGTCCCTACACTTCTATATCTCCACTGTATCATAAAGAGAGTGACTTTATGGTATAGTATAGGGAGAGTGACTCCAAGGTATATCATAAAGAGAGTGACTTTATGGTATAGTATAAGGAGAGTGACTCCAAGGTATATCATAAAGAGAGTGACTTTATGGTATAGTATAAGGAGAGTGACTCCAAGGTATATCATAAAGAGAGTGACTTTATGGTATAGTATAAGGAGAGTGACTCCAAGGTATATAACAAAGAGAGTGGCGTTATGGAATAGTATAAGGAGAGTGGCTTTATTGTATGTTCTCAGGAGAGTGACTTTATGGCATACTATAAGGAGAGTGACTTTATGACATACTATGAGGAGAGTTACTTCATGGTATATTATAAGGATAGTGACTTTATGGCATACTACAAGGAGAGTTACATCATGGTATATTATAAGGAGAGTGACTTTATGGCATAGTATAAGGAGAGTTACTTCATGGTATATTATAAGGAGAGTGACTTTATGGCATAGTAAAGGAGAGTTACATCATGGTATATTATAAGGAGAGTGACTTTATGGCATATTATAAGGAGAGTGACTTTATGGCATAGTATAAGGAGAGTTACTTCATGGTATATTATAAGGAGAGTGACTTTATGGCATAGTATAAGGGGAGTTATTTCATGGTATATTATAAGGAGAGTGACTTTATGACATAGTATAATCAGAGTTACTTCATGGTATATTATAAGGAGAGTGACTTTATGGCATAGTATAAGGGGAGTTATTTCATGGTATAATATAAGGAGAGTTACTTCATGGTATATTATAAGGAGAGTGACTTTATGGTATAATATAAGGAGAGTTACTTCATGGTATATTATAAGGAGAGTGACTTTATGGTATATCATAAGGAGAATGACTTTATGACATACTATAAGCAGATTTACTTCATGGTATATTATAAGGAGAGTGACTTTATGACATACTATAAGCAGAGTTACTTCATGGTATATTATAAGGAGAGTGACTTTATGGCATAGTATAAGGAGAGTTACTTCATGGTATATTATAAGGAGAGTGACTTTATGGCATAGTAAAGGGAGAGTTACTTCATGGTATATCATAAGGAGAATGACTTTATGACATACTATAAGCAGATTTACTTCATGGTATATTATAAGGAGAGTGACTTTATGACATACTATAAGCAGAGTTACTTCATGGTATATTATTAGGAGAGTGACTTTATGGCATAGTATAAGGAGAGTTACTTCATGGTATATTATAAGGAGAGTGACTTTATGGCATAGTATAAGCAGAGTTACTTCATGGTATATTATAAGGAGAGTGACTTTATGGTATACTATAAGGAGAGTTACTTCATGGTATATTATGAGGAGAATGACTTTATGGCATACTATAAGGAGAGTTACTTCATGGTATATTATAAGGAGAGTGACTTTATGGTAAATTATAAGGAGAGTTACTTCATGGTATATTGTAAGGTGAGTGAGTGAGTTTAGAAATATTCCAGCAACATCACGGCGGGCGACACCAGAAATGAGCTTAACACATTGCACCCATGTGAGGAATCGAACCCGGGTCTTCGGCGTGACGAGCGAACGCTTTAACCACTAGGCTTCCCCACCGTCCTGGTATATTGTAAGGAGACTGACAATATAATATATTATAAGGGGAGTGACATTACGATGGAAGGTCAAGTTTGACCGCAAGTGATTCCGTACGATTGCACTAGACCATTACCTGGTATGCATTGCAAGACCAAATATTGCTGTAGGAATTAAAACCATTGACATTCAGAGCCATCCTTAACCTTGTGTTGGAACAAACAGAATGCCTCAACTTGATCAACACGATGCTTCTGGGTCAATAAGCAGTTCAATGAAACTAATGAATAATGTCTGGCGGGGGATTCGTGTTGACAGGGTGGTGTTGATAACTTGTAATATTATACTTGCTTGATAATTAATAGTGTCTGAAGGGCTTGATTACAACTATCAGCATGATCCAGATGGGCAGAGCTCGGGGTCTGGAAGTCGTATTAATTGTAGCTATTAAATTGGCGTCTTGTATTCACAGGAGTCAGGACACTAACAAACACATTACTTTTATGAACATCGTGTGGGTGGCGGGGGTTGACACTTTTTGTCAGCGCCTAGTGTCCTTACTAATGTTTAGACATCCGTTTATACAATTTTCATCACTTTGATGCCTTTTAGGCCAAATGGCATCTATTTCGGAGGATAAACGAAAGTGGTTATTCTCTGGCACCGTCGTATTTGTATTGAGGTGTACTCTTCGTATCAAACCTAAATTGTCCTTGGGAAGTATTTCAGTTATGGCATAACGGTTACCTTTGTGTAATGGAAAAGCATGAAGTGAAAACCGCCGCTACCGCAGCTTTGGTGTTAAGTCAAGAGTAATACTCATGACTAATAATCAGGATGATTAGTTTCATCCCGATGGCGTCGATTGTTGCTGATGCTACTAACCCCTTGACGTCAACGTCCAAATATACTGATGTACAAAAGAAAGTACACACCTGGTATTTGAGACTATTAAAACAATGTAAATATTTTGCTAGCAATGTTCCAGTTGGGTACGATATCTATGGTGTTATTGCAACACGTACGCAATGTTTGTGACTTGTTAGTCGCAATCAAAACACTTTTCTAAATATTACGCTGTTTTCAGGAAAACATTTTACCAAAGCATCAGGTGTGTACTTTCTTTTGTACGTCAGTATATAATAGGAAAATAATGACACCCTCGAATAAGGCTGGGACGGGTCCACATTTTCTACCCGAGTACCCCACCCCCTGTTGCCCTACCATCCCCGGATACCCGTTACATCAAATTTGCAAGAAATGGCAATATATTCTTCAGCTCGGAGGCTAAAATTTCGAGTTTTCAGTATCTTAACCATGTATTATATTCAAATGAAGTGACTGTAAATTGTGTCTAAATCTTCAAAGACGATACAACCTTTCAATCATGAAAGAATAACATATTAGATTGTTTAATCTATTAGTCACATGATCATAACGGGTCCGTGTATGGAGACGGGTGCCCGGGTCCAGATCATTACCCACCCGTCCCGGGTATCCGGGTTACCCGTCCCAGCCCTACCCTCGAAAATGTTATCTGCTTAGCGAATCTCACTTCCAATCAGCATAAAGCCGTGATATTGCTGGAACACTGGAGCGTCAAGCTGACTGCGTTTCCACAGAACTGCACGACAATTGTTTGAGTAAAAACATGACGATTAGAGCTCTAAGTTATTAGTTGAGCTGATGAAAAGTATGAAATATATAAAAATTAAATTAGTGGATACTACTTATTAAAAGCAGTGTTATTGAGGTCATCGTCATGGTTGCCAGAGAGTTGACTTACTTCATGCCACAGACTTTAGATATGGGTGAAGTTGTACAAAACAAACCTACCGCCACGACGTCGTAAGTCTGTGTTAAGATATCATAATGAGATTTATAGAGGTCAGGTGAGGTGCAATTGGGTTTTACGTCGTGCTTGAGAATATTTCG